TGTGATTCACTTTGGGCAGATGCTTGTGAGGGTCATGCTTCCTGTTTACATACTTTTGCATAGCTTTCTTTGTTGGAAAGAAGTCCCATATACTATCAAGAGCAGAGGGACGGTTAACCTTGGGCTTCTGAAGTTGACCAGCCAACCTCTTCTGCCTGAAGTTAACTCTCTCTTGATATTTGCCCTTCTGGTGATCATTTCTGGCACGATTGACATGAGGTTGTCTGTCAATGAATGGTCTTTTATTTTTGTTATTTTGAAAACCTCTTCTGTTGTTAGGTTTTCTGCCAGGTTCATTATTTTTCAAAAAGGGTTTCTGTTGAACCTTTATCTTACCCTTTTCTGGTCTGACTTCCTCATGAACAACCTTGATGCCAGATACACCAGCTTGACAGATGGGGCTAGAAATCAGTGGCTCTATGACCTTATCTGCCTTAGCAACTCTGGTGCTAGGCATTACAGAAGGCACACCTGATTCTGTTGAGCCATAACCAAGACCAAAACCAGTGCCAATCTGTTGATCAAGCACAATCTTTTCCATGGAAGACTGGGCCTTCTGGTAAGCTTTGTACTTAATCTCGAGAGGCTCTATTTCTCTTATTCTCTTAAGAAGAGAAACATTTTCAGTCTCCAGTTGATCTCTTTCCTCAATCAGAAGATTGATTTTGATCTCAACCTCCTTCTTTAAGTCAAGAATTTCAGCTTTCAAATTACTGTTTTCTTCTGTTACAGAAGAATAAGTGGCTTGTATGGCCTTAAACTCTTCCCAAAATTCTGACATTGAATCAGAATCAAAAGCTAAGCCTACCGAAGAAAAACTAGATTCAGAAGTAGAGGTTACCTCATCATCAGAATGAGCCATCAGGCAAAGGTCTTCTGTCTCAGTATCCAGGCAATAGAAGGCCTCATCAGAATCTGAGTCAGAACTGGATTCTGTTTCTGACAGAGGGTCTTTCTCCAGTTGTTCTGTCACAAGTGCCTTTCTTCTTCTGGAGTTGTCCTCGTACTTCTTCTTTTCTCCATCCTGTCCTTGCTTCTTGGACACTCTAGGATGGGGACAATCAGCCTTGAAGTGACCAGGTTGTCTGCAGTTGTAACAGAGAAGCTCTCCACTGCTTTCTGTTGATTTGACCTTCTGGTATGGCTTTCTGTTGAAAGATGGACTCCTTCCATCTTTGGGATTCTTCATAAACCTTTTGAATTTCCTGGCAAAGGCAGCCATATATTCATCAGATAAAAGTACTGAAGGGTCAAAATCATTTACCTTAGATGTGCTGGCAGTGAGGGCTGTAGTGGTCCTCTCTTCTGGTACTTCTTCCTTTTCTTCAATCATTTCAAACTCATGAGCTTTGAGATCTGAAATGAGCTTATCAGTGGGATAAGTCTTTACATCCTTGCTGGCTTGGACAACAACTACCTTCATCTTCCATGCTGAGGGCAGTCCCCTCAACACCTTCAGGTTGATCTCCTTGGTTGTGAGATCCTTGCCAAGCTCAGAGATCTCTCCAGTGAGAGTGAGGAGCCTGTCATACATCTTGGAGATGCTTTCACCAGGGAGAAGTTTGAAGTCATCAAACTTCTTGTTGGCTATGGTTAGTTTGTTGTCCTTCTCTTGCTCATCACCAGCTCCAATGAGCTCAAGAGTATCCCAGATTTCCTTAGCAGTCTTGCACTTCTTGATTCTGTTGAAGTACCTATCATCAATGGACTTGTAGAGGATGTCCTTGGCAATATTGTCTAGGTTGTACTTTCTCCTTTCTTCAGTGGTCCATTCTGACTTGACTTTACTGATCATCTGGGGTCTGGTGTTGTCTATGGCATGCTCAGGATTGACCTTCTGGAAGCTTGTGAAGGGGCCAATATCTAGAACTTCCCACATCTCATCATGCAGGGCACAGAGATGTGCTTTCATCCGGATCCTCCAGTCATCAAACTTAAGATCTGAAAACATAAGATTCTTGGACAAGGAGTGATCCATTATATCAGATAGAAATGAGGTAAAACAGAAAAACAAGTGGATCTTTGTTCAACAAATAACCTAAAAGATTATTAGAACAAGGAGGCTCTGATACCACTTGTTGGTCCCGGTTATACTGGATACAGTCTAGAGGGGGGGGGGGTGAATAGACTGTATTGGTTTTTAGCTTTTTAAGCTAAGTACCAGATTTACAGAATAGCCTGTTCTGTTGAAAGAACAGACTGGCAGCGGATGGGGTTCTGGTAAGGAGTTCTGTTAGCCTTAGAGAAGCAATAGGCAGTAGGCCTTCTGTTAACTCGTAGAACAAGTTCTGCTGAACACAGATACCAAGTCCAAGGAGTTATACAGTTCTAACTAAGTGCAAGTATTAAAAGCAGTAAGTAAACGACACCAGGGATTTTTATAGTGGTTCAAGGAACAACTCGTTCCTCTAATCCACTGTTCCACTAAGCTGTAAAAACTGCCGTTTACAAAGCCTTAGTCCTAGCACTTAAGAAGCACTCCACGTCTTCTTCAAGCCTAGATGTGTCCTGGGATGCACTGCCTGGCTTCCTTTAACAATGGTCCTTTCACTGAGTTTCCTTGAAGTATCACCACTTCATTACTCCAGTTATTTGGACGTCCTTCTTGTAGCAAGAAGAGTTTCTGTTGAAACAGGGGTTCCTCCAACTAGCTTCGTTACAAAAGATTTGTATGTGATGAGCTTGAAGAGTTGAAGAACACTTGGAACTTTGCTTGAGTTGGAAAGAGTATTTTTCCAACTTCTGCCTTCTCTTGTAGAAGATAATGAGTTTGAATCTCAAGGAGGCTTTTTGCTTTTCAAAGTTTGAATATCTTGCTTATAGCAATGTGATCTTGGCAAAGTTATAGCAAAATTATCCGGTTGTTCTTCGTAGTGTATCTTTTTATACTGAGGTTGTCTTCCCGTTGGAGGAGTAGGAGGACAACTGCATTTAATGCGCGAGCAGTTGACTTGACCAGTAGGACCCGGTAAAGTTGGCGGGTTACTATTTTGGGATAAAGTAAATCTGACATTGCGGCCAATCATCTGCAATTACTCCACGGAGCATGGGGAGAATTAAATGAGCATTTAATGCGAGCACTGTAGCTTTTCCGTTTCATACTCCTAGCCGTTGAAGGAATCTTTAAGTTGACTTCCCGGCTTTGTGGATTTCTTCCAAGTGTAAGACCTTCTGGTGTCATTGGCAGAGAACTGATTCAGAGAAGATCTTGAGCACTTCTGTTGAAAGTAGCTTACAGAGGACCAATAGGGTTTCTGTCAAGCTAAAGGGTAACAGAGACCCTGAGGTTTTCTGTTCCTAGACAGACAACCAAAATCTTCTGTCTGGAGGACTTCTGGTAGAGAGGCCTTCTGGTAGTCGATTATGCTAAGAACTTTACAAGGGAAAATTCTAATACATAATTTCTAAAAGGGGTACTCTAAAGTCTTAATTAATATAGCATCATCAAAATCTAAATACAATTATTCCTTACAGTTATGTCCGTTGATCCAATAAAGTACTTCTCAAACACCTTCCTCCGAACCTCTTCATTAGTATAGAAAACAGGCTTTTCCCCTGATGGTTTTATCCCAGAGATGTGATAGAAATCCACGTAGGTAAACTTCAGCAACTTCCCTTGAATATAAAACCAGAACTCGTCATCAGGTTGCTCCCATACAAGCCCGAGCAGAAGAGAATAGATAATTTGTCCAGAAAATATCATCTCTAGCACAGATATGAGGTGGCCCCATGACAGCTTCTTAAACTCCTCCAGTTGCTTCTTGGTCAAGGCAGACTACACCAAGCTTTCGGCCTCTTTGAAAAATGAGCACGCGGAATACTGGGCAGGAACTGTTTCGACATGGGAACTTGTAGTTCAAAAGCCCTGTATAATTTCAACCAATACATATCACACATTTCAGGCAAATCAATTACATTACAAATTAATTTAAAATGACAGGGCAAATGAAAAAATGGGTTGCCAGACAAATACTAGTAATGACAGACAAATACATATGGGCTGCAAGACCATTTATAAGACTTGAAAGACAACTACAGACCAAATTTAAACAATTCAAATTCTCGACCCAGATATTTCATATGGATGGCCAGACAACTACTTGTACATAACAGAAAACTAGAAATGGGTTGCCAGACAATTTTTTTGACTTCACAGACAACTACAAACCTAATTTATACAATTGAAATTGACGGGACATATATTTCATATGACTTGCCAGACAACTCCATTGGCATAACAGACAACCACAGACCTACTTTCAAGAGTTCTATCACACACAACAACTTCAAAGTATTCACAAACATAATTACAAACAACACTAAAATTACAACTCCATTCACATCAACATATAATAAATTCAACAAAAATAGAAGAAATTCCATACCTTTCAGCCATTTGTGATAAGCTTGTGCAAACCATGGAGTCAAAAACCTTCAGAATGGGTCCCGACGCTTCATCCGTTTCGTGGGGGTGAGGGAGGCGCTTCGTTCATTTCCTGGAGGTGAGGGAGGCGCTTCGTTCATGGGGGTGAGGATGGCAGTGGGTTGTTGTTTCGAGGTGAGGGAGGCGCTTCGTTAGCGGATGTGAGGGAGGCGCTTCTTTCGCGGATGGGTTCCGGAAGTTTCAACTCGACGGAGGTTGGACGGCGGTTGGGTCATGGGGCTCAGGGCGGAGGTTGGACGACACTTGTGGTGGATGGGTTGGGAAAGGTTGAGGTCGATGCTGCCAGACCAGGTTTTGAAAAGTTTCTGGGAAAGGGAAAGGGTGGGAGGGTGGGAGGGCGAGAGATTTGGAAGTGGGGGTGAGGGGAGTTTTGGCGCACGTGGAGGTGAGGGGGGTAAATTTTTGGGAAGAGTATTTATATGGGTAAGTATGAGATAATTATAGTAAATTTGAAGAAATTAGTGCAAAGCGTGCACAATCATTTAGCGTTGATCCGGTTACCGGTCTTGACCGGGTTGACACTTGACTAGGTAACTTGGTCGGGTTGCCTCCGGGTCTCGTTCTTTAAGCATAGACAAAAACCAGCAACAAGCAAGTGTGAAGTGTGCAATGTTACTGGTTGCCGTCTAAGCTCACTTGGTATTCATCTTTGAAGGCGAACGTCGTCGTTTGCGTTCCGTATTCATCAAATGACTTCAGCGACTTTATCGTTGTGCTCATGCTCTTACATGGCCTCGCTCTCGATTCCAACACTTTCTCCTCGCGCTATAATTTGTTTCACCGTAAAAAACAAAAACTCTCCACAATTCCTTTTCAATGGACGGCTAAATCATCACCAAGTCAACAGGCAGAACATCTTCATCCGAAGCACCAATGGGTACACCGCCGCCAGCGGGGTTTCGGCGGAAGAGTTGGATTCTCAGAACGGTTCAAGCAGCACTCGCGAAATGGGTAACCAAAATTGGGACGGGTCTCAGCGCGAGTTGATACTCAAAGGTGGCGAACAGGTCACCTCTGTTCTCGAAGAGATGGCCAAGCTCGTAAGCTTGATTCGCTCTCTAAAATTGATTATCTCATTATCAATATGTTATTTTCTAAGCAGGATAGAGTAAATTTTGAGTTATTTATCATACATTGATGACTGCTTGGCTGTAACTAGGGTTGTTTGGATAATAGTAATAAAATATACATTATAGCTCAAGAAGTTTAGTACTAAATTATTATCTGGATAAGTTTATCACCTGTCATGAAGAATTAGTTATTCAGACTGAGTGCTAGCATAAAACTGGCATTCTGTACAGTAAGCTATATATTCAGTTTGAGATTCATATCTTCATTGGATTTTTTGCTTTCTGTTACAGCTGGAAGACATGCATATGGATGAAGCATCCCAGGAAGTTGCTTTCCACTTGGCTGCACAGGGAGTCATTGGCAAAAGAGTGGATGAAATGGAGGCAGGGTTTATGATAGCCCTGGATTATATGATCCAGACTGCTGATAAGGATCAGGATGAGAAGGTATGTCTTCTTGTTCGATACGGGGCATATCATTTTCTCATTTGAATAGAACAATCAGCATGTTATTATCTTTCGTCATAAAACCATCCAAGTTTTCAACTTGCCATAGAATCAATTTGCTCTCTGGGATGTAAACTATTGCATAATTGTTTCTTTCAGCGCAAGTCACTCTTGGAGGTGGTGAAGGAGACTGTGTTGTCTCATCTAACTAAAAAATGCCCCCCACATGTGAGTACTATATTTGATGATTTTGATCACATTTGCTATGATGATTCACCCCCTCTATTGTTTCCTTGACACTAAAAGGTTGTACTGTATCTCTGTCCAGGTTCAAGTTGTCGGCCTACTCTGCAGAACTCCCAAGAAAGAAAGCAGACATGAGTTGCTTAGACGTGTGGCTGCAGGTGGTGGAGTTTTTAAAAGTGAAAATGGCACAAAAGTTCATCTTCCTGGGGCTAATTTAAATGATATAGCAAACCAGGCTGATGATCTTCTCGAGGCAAGCACATTTTAGAGAATGTTTATCTTCTCCATACCTGCAAATATGATATCTGGTTTGGACTCTAGATATAGTTTCCATTTTCAGTATTTCAATTAACTAATACCGATAGACACGATGAACAAGAATGCTTTGACTTGATCTAACTCAGTCCCATATGTTATTGGGTGGTGTAAAACACTAAAACTAAACATTTAACTTCCAGCTCTCTTAAAAGTTATGCCCTAAATCTTTCATATCTTATATGAAAAACAACTTAAGGTCTGTCTGGAGCCTGGAAAATAATATGGAAATAAATCAAGAAGGAAATCAAATTGGAAAATTGGAAGGAAAGAAAATGCCTGTTAGAATAAAAGAAAGAGTATAACAACAACATCCAAGCCTTAGTCCCAAAAGAGTTTAGGGTCAGCTAACATGAATCGACATATGAAACCAAATCAGAGCTAAAAAGATAACAAAGATAAAAAACAAAAAAGAGTAATACTCAAAAAATCATCTTAGATAATTTTATGCTCATTTTATTTATTATATATATTATATAAGGACTAAGAGATCTAAATATATACATGATTTTGAAAGGAGTAATCATTTATGATTTTCTTTGCATTTCCCGAAGTAAAACCAGACATGAGAATATAACTTTCATTGGCTTTTTATATCTTTTAACTAGCATTTTACGGGATTGAAACATGGCCTTGATGCAGTCTACCACTCTACAGTACCTCCTGGAAAGATCATATACGTTCTGCCAAAACTAGTATGATCTTGACATTTACGATGTTTTTACTTGGATTGATTTCAGTCACAGACTAGTCCAAAATATTTCAGTCCAATTGAAAACATCCACAGTCTCAGGTAACTAATAAATAATACGGAGTACTACATTACTACCTAAATAATGATTACAAACTTTTGGGCATGTTGATTAACAAAGTTGGATAAAAAACATAAAATACCCTCTTCTTTTACTGTAGCAATGAAAAAGTAACAGTGAAAAACTAAGTAAAGTTGGATTAACAAGTTGTAGAATTTCGTAATAGGAAGGGTAAAGTATGAATTGTATGTAGGATCATTTGCCGAAAAGGAAACATAACCTTTATTTTGGGACAATAGAAAAGGAAATAGATAACTTTTATTTTGGGATGGAGTCACGGAGGGAGTACTCTGTCATGTAACACACCAACGAGCTCTATACTGATTTGCATGGTGAAATCATTGGATTCTACTACATTATGTATACTGCCAAAACTTTTAATCTTTTAGTACATCTCTGTATTACAGACTATGGAAACACGCCCTGTTGTTCCTGATAGGAAGCTACTTGCAAGGCTAGTTTTGATTAGAGAAGAAGCTAGAAATATGATGGGAGGTGGAATACTTGATGAGAGAAATGACCGTGGCCTTAACACACTTCCTGAATCAGAGGTTTGTTTCATTGACATATACACCTTTCAGAAATATCCTCATTCAAATTAATTGGTTTATATGGTGTGCTCACATCTCACATTGTTTTTGTGGTATCTCACATTTTCAACAATCAGTATTGGATCTGGAAAGTACTAGGGAAAATAAAATAAGTGCTGAGGAAGATATTTTGCTGTGTTTGGCCTTACTTTGAAAATGCAAAGGAAAAGAAAATATGAATAGTTTTAAATTCAAATATTTACTTTCCAGTGTTAATCTAATAGAAATAAACTGTTGATCTACAACAACATCCAAGCTTTACACCCAAAAGATTTTGAGCCTGGCTAACATGAATCAATCCATACAACAACATTCAAGCCTTATTCCCAAAAGATTTTGGGGTTAGCTAACATGAATCGATCCATGATATCAGAGCAAAAAAGATGAGAAAGATAAGAAAATAAAAAGGATAAGGTAAGATAAAATGGATAAGATAAAAATAACATAAGAATATAAGATAGATAAAAGAGAAAAGAGATAACGAACATAAGAAAAATAAAAGATGAAAATAACATAAGAACATAGAATGATAAATAAAATAAAAGATAAAGAAGGAAAGAGAAAGGAAGAAAAGAGATAATCGTCCAGACGTATATGTGCCCTCCAATTTGCTCTGTCCAAAGTTATAGTTTCATCCAACCCAAGAAGAAACATATCAGTTCTGATTCCTCTAATCCAAGTCTGTTTGGGTCTCCCACTCTCCCTCTTGCTCGCCTACTCTTCCCTGCTCTCAATTCGTTTAACAGGTGCATCACTCAGTCTTCTACGCATATGACCAAACCACCACAATCGAGACTCTTGCATCTTATCTTCTACAGATGCTGCTCCCACCTTTTGTCTGATTATCTAATTTCTCAAGCGATCTTTTCTGTTATGTCCACACATCCAATGTAACATACGCATCTCTACCGCACTCATCTTTTGAATGTGACATTGTTTCACCGTCCAACACTCTACGCCATACATTAGTGCAGGCCTAATTGTTGTTCGATAAAATTTACCCTTCAGTCCTCGATCACATAGAAATCCAGATGCACTCTTCCACTTCATCCTCCTGCTCTGATTCTCGGGGATACATCTCCATCTAATTCACCATTCTTCTGAACTATACAGCTCAAATACCATGAATCAATCCATAATAGAAATAAATTATGTGCTCGAACAAACTTCTAAACTTTATTGAGTTTGTGTATCTTTTGTTTCCCCCCAAAGGCCCGGATTTTCTTTTCTTCCTATTTTACTCTATATTTCTTCCCTATTTTCCTGGCCTTGTATTTTGCAGGTTCCAAACGGACTCTAAATGTTTTACACTCTTACCAATGCAGGTCAACTTTTTAACTAAGCTTGTTTCCCTTAAACCAGGGAAAACCGTTCGTGAGATGATAAAAAACGTGATGGAAGGGAAAGACGAAGGTGCAGAAAGTCCAGACAGTAACAAAGAGAGTGCTGGTGGTCAAAATAAGTCTGGTGGAATTGCCGGAAGGGTGAGGTTTTGTTATTGATTGATTTCACAAGTCACAACCCTAGTTTGTGTAATATCTCCAATTCTCTGTTGCTTTTTTGCCTCCGCAGGGCAGTGTCAGTGGCAATCAACCTTTGCCTGTACGCCCTGGCATGTTTCTTGAAACTGTTTCGAAGGTAACACTTGCTCTTGCTTGGTTTTATAACTGAGCTAATAGAAGCTTCAAAGCTATATCTCATTGGCAATTTTTAGGTTTTGGGAGAAATATATGTGGGAAATATCTCTGGGGTTACAGCACAGCAACTTGAATGGGTAAGTGTCATGTTGCCTTCTATAGGTTCATCTACATCTGTGAATTTTATCTGATGAATAATTTCTTATTTCATTTTGAATCAATTTAGAAGATATCTGCTTCAAACATAAATTGAACCGCAAACCTATTTGATACACAATAATTAATTCTTGATTTCATGGGAAAAATGGACTTCCCCCTGCACTTTTTTGGAAGAACCTCCACTTATTTGTTACCATTTGAAAATTTTGGTAATTATTACGGAGTATTTTTTTTAAATATTGGTTCATGGTTGTTTATTGCACGATTTGATCTCTGTTCTTCATATATTAAATTCTTATCTTACTGCTGAAAAAGCATGGCTTGAAATCTTATCTAATTGTTCATCGAAGTTATTGATCATTAATCGGTTTCAGGTTCATCAGAACACACTTCAAATTCTTCAAGAAGTTGCATTCTAATCCATTTGACCACATCAAGCTGTGAAGAGTTGATTTTCATGCAGTGGTGGCATTGGCAAATCTACAGTTAGGTGAATTATATTTCCTGCTACATAAATTTACAAAATATATGCTAGTGTAAATTATACCCTGTGTGTGAATACTTATCTGCACGTGTTTATACTCACACATGCACAAAGTTGCCACTCAATAGATATGCATCTGTTTGATTGAATTCCACCCTTTTTATGAATATTTTCTTATAACGCTAGTATCATGATAGGATGTACTTAGTTAACAAAGTGTAGCACATGTTGCAATTAATTTACTCAATGAAACAAGTACACTATAATTGTGTAGAGTCAACATTTTTGATGTGTTTGGTTGGAGCACATTATTTGTTTTTGTTCACCTCTTGTCTGTCTTATTCTAAATAATCAATGTAATGCTCTAGCATAGTAACATGTAGCGAATCATACTATGACACTACAAGAACTGGTGCACCCCCACAACGGGCCCCTCTGCCCCTGCCGTGGGCGGACAAAAATCATGAGAATACACAGCTCAAGAAAGAAGAGAATTAGACTCCTTTTGGTTTGCATATTTGGCTTATCAGCCAAATATGTTACCAAACACTTTTCCATTCAGCAAATTCAGCAGGTTTAGCCATTACTTCAAAATTACACTAACAATTATTTTCGCAACAAGGAACAAATCTCATGCCTTTGATAGGGTAAGCTGGTAAGGCATCTTTGGGCTGACTGTGTACGCGTTGCTTGCTTTCCAAATGATACAGGCATACAGCTGTTAATATATAATGTCTTGGTCCTTGTTTGGCTAGCTCCATATCCCCAATCCTACTCCACTTGTGTGCATGGGCATCCTACTGTAACCATGTGATGACAATGATGCCCTTTTTTGTTTTTTTTTCCAACTATGAGCTCTGCAATGCATACAGCTTAAAGTCTTAAAGTGCCATTTCTTCATTATCATCTGTATATGGTTTTGATGTGGATGTTTTTTCCAGCCATTTTATCGCGACCACTCCATGCCCTACTTGTTGTCCACTACTTCCGGGTTGGTCCTAAATATAATTGCCTGTTTTGCTTTCCAAAACTGATCATACCTCTGGCCCTCTGGGATGTAGGGCATAAAAATCAAGAAAACATTATGGGAAGGCTGATTTTGAAATCATGAGGTTTTGGTATATGAAATTATGAAAAAATAATTTTATAAGTAGTATCCGGGTGGGGGGGGGGGGGGGGGGGGGGGGTCCTCTCCACCCGTCTTGACCGGCTGACTCAATTTCCATACTCGTCCGAGTCTTGAGGTAATGGATGTACGGAGTATATTAGTAATTTTTAAAGTTGCAGTGGATTTGTGAGGTGCCGATGGTGGGGTTTTGAATATTTCTATACTAACATTCTAACATTCATAGAAAATATTTTAATAGATATCACATATGTTTAAGTATTTTTATTACTAAAATGAAGTTTAAGACCACCGCTACCGTTCAAAGCTTGAAACTAATAATTGGTATTTGGTGTTTATAAAAGGATTTTTTGTGATACCCGTTGAAACCACGCCCATATGGGGTGTTTATGTACATGTAGTAATGGGGGTGGTTAACGAACACCCCATAATTAAATCTTTTTTTCTTGGAGATTTAAATTCACTTCACTAATCTAAGTGAAAATATGAAGATTTTTTAATCAACATTCAGTGTTTAGTTTTAGTTATAGTTTAAACTTTAAACAACAATATTTGTGCTTGATCTTTCAAGAGTTATTTCCATCATTTGTAATGGAGCCAAAGATTCATTATTTTTTGGCTTGAGATTATGATGGAATAAAGCAAAATGGCTCACTAAACTGTCTGCGCTTCTTTGTTATGGAGCAGCAGTCGGTCCATGCAATTTTGGACGTGATTTTCACTGTGGGTCATCCGGAAACAGTCGCTCTGTGCTTTAGTATAGGGGTAAGACTGTGTACATCTGACCCCCCTTTACCTCACCGTAGGTGGGAGCCTTTGCGGCACTGGGGTAAATGAAAATGAAATGAAAATGATGATCTTTCAAGAGTTAGTAATGAGTTCCGTACAAGTGTACAACCCATCGACAAAATCCTGATTATTTGCTCCTAAAAAGTAAAAGAGAATATTACCTGAAAATCCGAAATAGGACTTAAAAATTTTGAAAATTCCAAAATAGGATTGTCGTTTTTATTCCCAAAATAAGACTAATTATTGCCATGTTTTGGCAGTACCAGACCTCAAACATGGCAGTATTTTCTAAACGTGACAATAATTACTCCTATTTTGGGAATAAAAAACATGACAATTCTATTTTGGAATTTTTAAACTGTTTTAGTCCTATTTCGGGAACTTTCCCAAAGTAAAATGCATCAGATGGGGAAGGAAAACAGACACGTTGAGTTTGGCTCACTTGAAATAAAATTATTGGAAGAGATGTTGTCTGTCTTAGTAATAATGATGATTAGTTAAGGAGTCTTATTTTTAGTGCTTATTTTCAACTCATCCATTTTGCCAAATCTGGTCCCACCTTCATGTTCTTATTGAAGAACACCCTACCCTTTAATTTCTAGTTTGTACCTCGTCAGTCAATAGCACAAAGCGTGCATTTTTACGCTATACTGTATTTTACTATTTTAATATATTTATCTATTAATTAGAACAATTATCCTATTTTATACTTGTATCTATTAATACTTGGATTCCATTTCTTGCCCGCTTTAAATTTATACTACTATTAATTATGTGTTCACTTTCCATACGCAGTAGTCATTCTTTTGTGCACCATTGATTGATAATTTTTAAGTCAGACAAAACATGACAAGTGTTTTCTTTTAGTTTAAAGCGCATGGTAATGTAAGATTTACTAAAAAGGATTAAACAATCAAAATGAGAAATCAATAGCAAATCTTTAGTTGGCCACAATTGAAATAACATTTTTGATGTTAAAAGTAACTTAATAATATGTAAATATGAAGTTAAGTTTGCATGTGAATCTCATGCAAGGTATCCGTTGAGTCTCCGCCCGAACAACTACGAGTAAAATGCAGTGTTAAACACAATGAACTCACATTAACAAAGCAAACCCAAAACATCTTTGGAGATTAATTTCTCATGCATTTACATACATAATTTTCATGTAATTCGAAGTGTTTCATTACATATAAAAGAACATAATTTAACATAAAAGAAAATGAAGTGAACATAATAAATAGCTTTATATAGTGTTTTATTGTTTTATACCTTTCCGGTGTGAAACAAATACTTTAACACGTCTTCTCAGTTTGAACCTTGCTGGACAATATCGGAGTGTATAAATGGGTCAAAAAGGCCTTTAACAAGCTACCCGTAATGCTAAACAAACAGTCAAACCAACATGGTTTTGATTAGCCACATACACAATTTCTGGTGTGAGACAAATACTTTAACACAAACCTCTTCTTAATTAGCCACATACACAATTTCCCCCCACGTATGAGCTATCAGACCATGTGAAGCTGCATTGTGATGATATGATGGAGATGACGAGTGCATACACTAAAATACCACTTTACAAAATGTTAGGATGACTAGCCAAGCGTGAAGAAATAATAGGCCAATCCGGATCCTTTCTCCGTAATATAATAAGAGTTCAATTCTCTATATATTTCCTATCTGCTGATTATATTGCTAAACAAGGTTATTGACTATGTGCATTTAAAGCTACAGCGTTTCGAACCCATCACTCATTTTCTTCCAAGTCATTGAAATATCATTATCGCAATTGTTGGCCTGGATGCAAATTCTCCAACCACTATTGCCTCTTCTGAAAATTCCTACCAAACGAGATGCATTAATTGCTTGCTTAGAGAGCATGCTAACATCAGAAGAATGGCTAACCTCATCTTTCTCTTCATTCAAGAATATAATTAATAAAATTAAATTAAACAATCACCTTCATACAAATATAATTTTTTAAGATACTATCGGTCGCAAAACAAATTAATAATTAATAAATGGCTTATAAAAGTATCTTTTTAATTAATTGGATCAAACATGGTACCCTTAGAAATTAGCTAGAGATATATCTTGACTTTTCTGCCAGATCGGAGTTGTTATCCCCTTTTGTTACTTCTTTCAAAATCATAGCGCATAAGTATATTACTTTTAAAATTATTGATGATTTTAAAAATAATGCGCAAAGTCCAATATCACTCAAAACATGTGGTGCAAAGTCAGATTTCTAAAAAATAATACTCTGTAACATAAATATTGGAAAAGTGAAAATAGTTAATGAGTTAATCATATATACTACAGAGTACATTTTTAGACTTTAGAGGATTAATCATCATCATCATCATCATCAAATACTACGTACTCGTATATACTACTAGTAATATACTACTACCTAGATTAAAGTTTGTACAAAAGTTGTAGAAGTCTATGCCCTAGATAGAGCTAAGGCCTAATGGCATGGCCGTTGATGACATCCCATTTTTCTCGATTTTCTTTGAAATATATTATTTCATATCTCCGTTCCACTAGCATTGATACATAAGGAAATGATGTGGTTATTAAGAAAAATAGGGTTATGTGGTTGACATTAGGGATGGACCGGGCCCGGGTTGGGAGCAGGTCCGGCTCGGGCTATGGGCGGGACCGGGTTCGGGAATCGGAGGCCCGGTACCGGCCTGGCTAGGATCCGGGACCGGGCTGGGTAACATTTTTTTTGGTTTTTCTAATTTATTCCTACCCCACCCCCTATTATACCCCCAAACCACCTAGCCCCAACCGCTTAACACCCAAATGACACAATCCAGTCAACAACATCCAAGCCTTAGTCCCAAAAGATATTGGAGTCAGCTAACATGAATCGATACATAATATCACCGCCAAAACGAAAAGAAAGAAAATAAAGATAAAAAAGACAAGCTATGATAAACAGATAATTAATATAAAAAGAGATGAATATACATAAAAATGATAAAGTAAAAAGGATACAAATAATGCTTATATATATAAGGATAAAAAACAAGGAAAAAAGATGAGGGGAAAAGATGATACGAGATCACTCCTCCACACGAATACCCGCCCTCCACTTAGCTCTCTCCAAAGTCATGCCCTCATCCAGCCCAGAAGAAGCATATCACTTCGAACTCCCCTAACCCACGTCTGTTTGGGTCTTCCTCTCCCTCTCTTCCCTACCTCTTCTCCACACACCTCAACTCGTCTGACAGGTGCATCACTCGGTCTTCTACGCACATGACCAAACCACCGTAGGCGCGACTCCCACATCTTGTCTTCAGTAGGTGCTATTCCCACTATTTGTCTGATTGTCTCATTCCTCACACGGTCCTTCCTAGTATGCCCACACATCCAACACAGCATGCGCATC